TGGGCCCGCTCGAGCAAATCGATGAACAACAGGAGGGCCTTTTTTACCTTACACAAAAACACATTTTTTGGTCATAGCTCGTGATCAGACGAGGTTATTCCTGGCTCTGCACTAAGGAATAACTCCTGGCAGTAGTCAGGTGCCACATTGGGTGCCTGGAATTGAACTCTAAGCAGCTGCATGCAAGGCAAATACCCTACCTACTATCTGTCCAACTCAGATCTTTGGATTTTTTTATTTGCTCAGGGCTTACTTCTGACTCTGCTTAGGGATCGAATCTGGGTTGACCTTGTGCACAGCAAATGCCCTACCCGCTGTACTATCTCTCCAGCCCCTGGTGATGAATTTAAAACCATGGAAAAATAAACAGGTTTTCCACCTCAACTATTAGGATAAAATATCTAGGAAATGAGAATCAGTAGTCAAATGAAAAATTGAAAAATTGGAGCTACTGGTGAAAAGTAAAATTGACAATTAAACTTCTGGTCTTGGCAGCACCTCAAGGACATTTGCTGTTTGTGGTGGAGTAATTTCTATCTCATGAAACCTCTAACTGAGCTTTTTAGAAAATCCTGTACATAACAACTGCCTTTTCCCTGGAATGTAACTTTCCAGGGTATTATCCAGGGATGTTCTTGGCTCCATGCCCAAAAGGCTGTACATGGAAAGGGTGTCTCCTGGACCCTGTTGCAAAACGTATGGTATTGTTACCTCATTGATGCAAGAGGGTAGAAACAGAACTATTGGGTATAGAATTAAAGTGAAAGAAAACACCGAATGCAACGTTGACCAAATGCAAGTTGTAGGTCTATAAATCAAACAATATACATTTAGTATTATACTCCTTAATGTAAGTCACGGGCTGGAGCAATAGTCCAGTGGGTATGGGCATTTGCCTTGCATGCGGCCGACCCAGGTTCGATTCCTCCATCCCTCTCGGAGAGCCCACACGGCAAAGCCTGGCAAGCTACCCGTGATGTATTCGATATGCCAAAAACAGTAACAACATGTCTCACAATTTGTTGTGAGACGTTACTGGTGCCTGCCCGAGCAGATCGATGGAAAATGGGAGGACTGTGCTACAGTGCTACAGATAAGAAATTAGAGTCATCCATTATGGGTCTCACCCTGATAAAGGTCACCGCTATTTCCTCTAGATTTGCACATTACCTAGTGACCCCTTGTGTAAATCTTCCTGCTGTATTTACCCAGAACTTGTTAGTTACAGCGGACAAACACCCGCTTCAACGTGGTGGAACAGCAAATCCGTGGGAAGCAGGAACCCTGGGAAAACTGCTTTCTTGGGTGGTTCAGTATTTTCAAAGCTATTTGTCAACTATACCAAAATGAAATAAGTGCATTATTTTGACCCAGACATGTGCTCTCTCCAGTTCTGACGAAGGACCAAGAACATATATGAATATCAAGACACTCTTTCCCAATGTTTTTAGTACAATATGTTTTTTTTTTTTTTGCTTTTTGGATCACACCTGGTGATGCACAGGGGTTACTCCTGGCTCTGCACTCAGGAACTACTCCTGGCGGTGCTCAGGGGACCATATGGGATGCTGGGAATCGAACCCGGGTTTGCACACGTGGGCTGATGTGGACCAAGTCATGCCACTCTTGAGTGTGATGCCACTTCCTGCCACCAGGAAGACGGTGTTGCAACCACTGCACTCCACAACCAGTGTGAGCCCTGTGACAAGGACCGAATCATTGCAACAAAGAGCTACCAAAGTAGGGGAGACAGGGGAACTTAAATGAAAGGGTCATTCCAACAGTGTTTTTACAAAGGATTGCTAAAAGGGTGTGTGCGAGCCTTCTTTCATCCCAATATGCCCTGTGACAAGTTGGTATTCATTGAACGTCTCGATTTCTGAGAACCCAATTAATAAGTTTAACTTTGGGTCTGAGTGAATCCACCAAGAATTCACAAGCTACATTCTCCTACATGTTAAGGAAATGTTTATTTTTATACAGAAACGTTGTCATCATCCCTTCTATCCTTTTGGATTTCAAAGAGATTACTATGAAATATTTCCATGCCCTTTGGCAGAACCATGAATCTGAGGAGCTGCTCTCTACTTTTAGTGATACATAGTCAACACAACACTTACTCCACAGTTTTTATCCAACCTAACCCATAGTTTTGTTCTTTTCATCAGTTTCTTTACATTCTCTCTGTCCCATGTAGTAGCAAAACCAGTGATGATCTTGAACTTACTGACTGATTTGATTTAGCATTTAAAACAGATAATCTGTAGTTTACCAACACTATAAATTCAACACCATTGGAATTTCCTCAACTATGATCTCTTTTCAAAGATAAACTCCCATTAAGCCAAATTCCACAAAGTACATAACTGAAACTTCTCAAAATTGTGTAGGTTATGCAAACCAAGGACAAACTCCCAAGTTTATGTCTAAAAGAGTCTCAGGAAAAAAGGATAGCTGCAGAACATTCATAGCCTGGGTGAAATTCTGGAGAGAAAATGGACATTAGGTCAAAACTCAGGAAAACAGAAGAAAATATGGACCAATATTTTTCAACTCTCAGTCCGGCTACAGGGACCAGTTCACAGAAATATTCTTCTAGCCAGAAAAGAAAAGGGATTACTGTTGTATACCAGGTACTTCTGGGTCAGGGAGTGGTACTATTAGAAATAGTGATCTCTAAAACTCATTGCTGTACAAAATGGTTAATATATGCTCCCTGGTAACTCATAAACTATTTCTAGTTTTCCCTGATGCCTAGGTTACAGGAGGTTTAAATCCACAGGTAAAAACTTTACTGGAATCAAAGTATAGAGAGAGAGAGAGTCAAGTGGAAATCATCTGCCACAAGGCAGGGGGAAGGGCGGGATGGGAGGTATACTGGGGTTCTTGGTAGCAGAAAATATGCACTGGTGAAGGGAAGGGTGTTTGAACATTGTGACAGAGACTTAAACTTGAAAGCTTTGTAACTGTTCTCACGGTGATTCAATTAAAAACAACCTTACTGGACCTTACATAATAAACATAACATCAGAATTATGATATTTGTGATAAATGTATCATCATAAATGATATTACGTGACTTTTCCCTGGATTTTGGGAAAAGCAAGCATGGCTGCTTTCTTAGGACTACAAGACTCCGAATTAGAGTTCACACCACTGCTCAGGTGAGTCTCAACAAGAAATTAATCTGTTGAAAAATTCAGGTATGCGGGTTTTGTGACTGAAATCTCAGTCTTTCATGGAGTTGGGGATGAGCTATCTTCTCCACCTTCATGTACTTCTGGGAGTTCTGGTAGTCACATACATGCCCAAAAGCTGCCACCCAGTTAAAAATTTAACTCCAGCTTTATCATCCATTAAAAACTTTGAACTTTCTGGCCACATTTGTGACCAGGCAACACTCCAAACTCTACAATACTGATAAAACAGGAGTGGACACAAGATTGGATAAGATGTAATGTAGAAGGTATCAAATCTTGATAACAAGATTTCAACACAGAAGGCTTAACCTGTAACAACATACTAGTGACCTCTTTATATAAGACTTAATAGCTCTATGGTGAGATACAAAAATCTTCCCTAACTTTCTTTGAAGGAAACATTTTTATCATTCTTTTAGCAAATTATTTATAACAAGGAATATAATGGGATTACAACAGCCAAGACTCAGAGACTATGAAACCCAGCTCCCGGAAGAGAACAGCGCAGAGTCTCCTGTCTCCACGCTTGGCTGTCCTCACCGGGGCCCCTTGGAGGAGGGCGGGTTGAGTTTCCCTCCCATCCCCGAGCAGAGCCCCGGCAGCTGAAGACGTCTGGTTCCAGCCACAGCCATGCTCAAGACCACTTTCCACATGTTCAGATGAGCCTCATGCATGAAGGAACTGGCAGAGGAACCCAGGTGTGTGGGACCCGGGGCTTAGATCTCCAAGCCTGCTTGGACTGGGACTGGACCTCCTCCACCCAGATCTCACTCTTCCAGTACGTTGGCGTTACACCCACCAACTGCCCCCTGTGCTGTGTAATCCCATCAACGGCCAAGACCCAGAGACTATAAAACCCAGCTCCCGGACATCTTATTATCTAGTTCTTTCTCTGCAGAGCCTGGCAGGCCCCAAAAGTATCCTGCCTGCACAGCAGAGTCTGACAAACTCCCTGTGGCGCATTCAATATGCCAAAACCCAGTAACAATGATGGGTCTCACTCTCCTAACCCTGAAAGAGCCTTGAATATGGCACTTTTTTAAAAATCTCAGGGCTAGGATGAAGGAGACGTTACTGAGGCCTGCTCGAAGCAATCGACGAACAACAGGATAGTCGTGATTGTGATCCTGACTGTAAAATATATTCATGTCCTTTAGCATAACTATGAATTTGAGGAGCTTCTCTCTACCTTTCAATGGGGTTTGGTGGCACAGTGATTTCAGATATTTTGGGTGCAAGTACAATAAATGAGGATTAGAACATCAGCTAGATAAATCCATTTTTTGAATCTGATTAGTTTCCAAACTGATAAATCTTGACATGATCAATTCAGAAAGATGTCTCATGTTTAGCGTACACCCACTCTTCCTGCTATATGGCCCTGGAAGAAGTTGCTGCACTTTGAAGAGATACAAAATAAGTATAAAAGTATAAACACCTAGCAGGACTGGTTAGTGGAATTAATTCTAGTCATCAAAAACACAGAACATTGTGCAATTTTTTCTATACAACACAAATCACAAAGACCTCTAAATACAGTTTCGTAATGAGAGGCAGAAAGTTCCAGTTCGGGGAGTTTCACTGTTCACAATAGTTTCCACTACTTTATAAAACAAAGGACTTGAAAAAAAGACATTGGGAGTAACATATAAACCAACTCTACAGTACATCTATATGATCAGAATAACAATTCCACATTTTTCACATGTACAATTAAATGATCACAGAAAATCCCATCACTTAGACAGAGAAGTACAGCATTGATGGCCAGATTCTTCTCTGCTCAGGCGTGGGGCTTACCTCTGTCAGGGGCTTTTTCTCATGGCAGTTGAGGCCTCCGACGAAGACCATGTTGGGCATCACGGGTCTGGGATACTCCAACACAAAATCAGTCCGAAACAACCACATAGACACATGGCTGTAGAGGTCATACGGGGTGATGGTGGTCTGCAAAATCTCAGAGGCAGCATCTACAGCCACTTTCAGTAAATGGTGGCAAAATAAACGTTCTTCCATGTAGAAGAGGAGATTCCGCACTCGCTCCCAGAAAGTCATGGTATCCGAGAAAGCTAATAATTCCCTAGGGACATAAGACAGAGGACTCGGGCACTGAGCCCCTTCATCATGATAATAGCAAAATGCTCCCCTGGTAAAGACCACAGAAGGAAGGGACAAGTACTTGGCTATAATCAGACCACACATATCAAAAGGATCTAGAAACACCGCGTCGAAAGAAGTCTCTTCCAAGTATCTCACTAGCTTCCTGTCGTCGAACACACTCTTGCAGTGTGAGAAAAAGTAATCGAAAACTTTGCTGGATGAGCCCATATAAAAAGAAAGAAAATTCTTATCCCGAATTTTCCATTGGTAATCAGAAAAAATTTTCATTTCACGATTCAAATCCTCCAGAGAGTAAGGGAGTGAGTAGGTCTTGGCTGTAAAATTCAAAGATTTCTTCACACGACAAGTCATCTCTGGCATGACCACGACTAACTCGTGCCCTCTCTGGATCAGCTCTTCCACCAACGGCTTCATGGAGAACCAGGGGCTCGCATCGATGGGCACCACCAGCAGCCTACCTGCCTCGGTGGGGCTGGGTGTCAGCAGGAGACAGACACTCAGGGGAAGGAGACCGACCAACATAGTGGGAGCCATCGGGAAACACAGCCAGAGCAGGGAGCTGCCAATTCTGAGCTTGACACAGTTTGTAGAAGAAACCTGGGCACAGTCCTGCCCAGGAGAAGGCGTGCACTCATCTACTCAATGAAGAGATTATAAATTATGGAAAGATTACCACGCTCTGATTTCTGTTTGCATAACCCTGATAAAAGAGCTTCTGCTGTTTGATTGGTCAAAGATCATGTTCTGAACTCTATGTCCTCCTTGAGCTGAACTATTAAGTAATGTTTGAAACCCTAAGAACTCAGAGACACCAAAGGAAAGTCAGTTTAATTAACCCGGTAGTTTTTTAATCACCCAAAGTAAAATTTGGATTTATCCTCAGATGATTACAGATTGCCCAGATGTAGAAGGCATTCATGTTTCATTCATGTTTCAACTAGAGCCTTGGAGCCCTTTAGCACTGGCGAGCAGAGCAAGAAAATTTGCCTGTCACTGGGCTTACGCCTCCTGATAGCTCATTCCAAACTCTGAGTCTATGTAGGCTAAAAAAGGATCAGCAATGCCTCTCTATGGGCTGTCCTGGCAAGGTGATGAGTTGACTCATCAACCTGAATTGTTTCCTTCCATGCCTGTATGGCACACAAGTTGTTCACTGGCCCCATGTTTGTCAGAAGCACATGCCAGTACAAGCACAATAAACAGGATAAAAGAAATCCCAACTAAGCCTGCCTCCCGGGGAGAAGGCAGTTGGGATAGAGAAGGGACCACTAAGTCAATGTTGGTTGGAAGGACCATTCAGGATGGGAGGGGTGTGCTGAAAGTAGACCAAGGACCATATATAATGGCCTCTCAGTATCTGTATTGCAAACCGCAATGCCAAAAGTAGAGAGAGAGTAAGAATGAAAGTAAGAAGGCAAGTGCCTGCCACAGAGGCAGGGGGTGGGGTGGAGGTGGGTGGGTGCAATACTGGGGACATTGGTGGGGGGAAAAAGCATACTGGTGGAGGCATGTGTGTTCGATCACTGTATGACGGAAACTCAATATCTTGAAAGTTTTGTAACTTTATCTCACAGCGATTCAATTAAAAAATTAAATTAAATTTTCAAAATAATGCTAAAGGGAAACTATGAAAAGTCTAAAATATGTTAGTAAATATAAAAATTAATTTGTGATGTCAAAAAAAAGAATCCAAACTGAAAAAAGAAAACTATAGGTTTGGAAGATGACATGATTATGTAAATAGAAAAACCTATGTCCATTAAAAGCCTACTAGAAGAATTACTGATTTCAATAAAATGATATGATATTAAATTAATATATAAAATAGGTAGCAGGGCCAGAGCGATCGTACAGCAGGTAGTGTATTTGCCTAGCATGCAGCCATTCTGGTTGGATCCACGGCATCCCATATCGTCTCCCCAGCTCTGGCAGGAGTAATTCCTGAGTGCAGTGTCAGGAGTAACCCCTGAGCATTGCTGAGTGTGACCCAAAAACAACAACAAAAAATCGGTTGCAGGGCCAGAGTGATAGTACAGCAGGTAGGGCATTTGCGTTGCATGCAGCCAACCTGAGTTTGATCCACGGAATCTCATATGGTCCACCCAGCACTGCCATGGATAATTCCAGAGTGCAGGACCAGGAGTAACCCCTGGGCATCGCTGGGTGTGACCCTAAGTGCAAGAAACAAAGAGTTTCTAAAAAAATTATTTGCATCTCCACATATAAACAATTTGATAGAAGAATGAAAAATATCAAACACAGCAATCACAATACCACTTACAATCATTCCAGAAAGAAATCAAAGAAAACCTAAGCATAAACCAGAAAAAGGACCTGAAAGACTTGTGCACTGAACCTAAGACAGCATTTGGGGGCAGGGCAGAGAAGACAAATAAATAGAAAGTGTCAGGTATTCATGACTTGAAAGAATGAACATGATTGAAATAGCTATTTTGGTTAAAGCCATCTACTGATTCACTGGATTCCTTTTATAAGCACAAATTGTGTAATCACAAAATAAATATGAAACCGCGGCACTCTCTCCCTGCCTCTGTTCAGTGGTCTCGTCTGCTCCCCCAACCCCGATGGCCTGTGGCAAAGGGGCAGATGAAAGAGGAAACGAGGCTGCCAGGCTGGTTGGTGATCAGTTGCCGTTTATTCCATTCTCCCCAAGCACCTGTTCCAGTCTCACTGAGCGTCCCATTCCAGTCTCTCACTGCGCCTCATTCCCATCTCCTCCTGTCCCCGATGCTAGTCTCTCCACACTCCATCTTGTGCTGCCTTGGTCTCGCACCCAAACTCCAAGCACTCAGGGTAGCAACCACACATAGCTGTGGCTTTACAATCAGCAGATGTAAATGCCTCCTCTCCGCGGAAGATTCTCCTAGGACAGATTCTCATCCAGCAAGTTGAAGTCCCTAGGGGTGAAATACCATCTAGGGGTGCATTTCTCCTTTCCTTAGTCCATCAATCATTGAAACATTCATCTTAATTCTACTTCCTAATAACATTAGTTATTCTGTATGGACGCAGTAAGAGATACATTAAGCTTGGAGGATGGCTTTCCTGGGGATATCTCGCAAAAGATCTCAGACTACAGTGCTCAGGCCAGATGACTCTTTCCTAACCCTGGCAGGGTCCTAATCTCATTGTTACTCTTTGGATCATGACAGAATTTGTCCATGACCATGCTCTTAACTTACAGTTAAGTATTTTGACACTTGGCCTGGCCTATTTTGATGCCAGGGTAGCTCAGAAGCTTGCCCTGGCTCCATCCAGTTCTGTATCATGCCTGCAAGCAAGAGCACCGGGATGCCGAAGATGAAAGACAGAGAGTTCCATGGAAGGGAGACGGCCAAAGGGTCAGAGCGGGTGGATGGGAGAGCAGGTCCCTCCGCAAGAACCCTGTTGTTCTGTTTCCCCCTTGTTGTTCTGTGCCCAGGCTCCGGTGCTCTCCATGACTCCGCAGGAACTTTTCAACATAAAACTGAAGTGTTGGCCAAGAAATGCAGCAAACCATCCTAGGGCTCCAGGATTTCAAGGAAAGCAGTGATCGCTCAGTCCTTTTCCCTGAGGAATCCCGGGAGCTGAGTATGTGGATTATGTAGCAGATTTGGGTGCAAGAAAACGTGGGTTCCTGCAGGTCTGGTTACCAGCCACCACGTATTGTTGGATGACATTGGGATGTTGGATGACATCCACGTATTGTTGGATGACAAGGACACTTGCTCCTCCGCAGTGAACTTAGATTTATTGAATTACTCCCACAATATTGCCCCGGAGGCGCACCCAGTTCCATCAGGCACTAATAATCCTATATTGCTTTTCTCTTTCCTTTATGTTCTTTGTGTGGTTATTTAGCAATTTCCTTTTTGTACAGAAACAGGAAGATTGTTCATGCTATGCTTTTGTAATTGACTCCAAAATAATATTTACTCCTGGGCATCCATATTTACTTAGCTTAAGTCTCAGTTGCCCTTAGTTCTTAGCGCACCAAAAGCAGGGTACCAATGCAAGTACTGGATGGACACAGGACAAGCTGTAAGCTACCCTGGCATCAAAAGGAGACAAGCTAAGTACCATAAATATAATAAGTTAAGAGCACGGTCATGGAACAAACTCTGTCATGACCCAAAAAAGAAGTGACTGAATAAGGACCCTGCTGGGGTTAGGAAAGACTGACCTGGCCTGAGGACTGTGGTCTGGGATATATAGAAAGATGTCCCTAGGAAGAGCCAACCTTTGAGCTTCATATATGTCTTACTGTGTCCATACAAAATGATTAGAAAGATTATAAGAAGTAAATTTACTATGATTATTTAAATGGTTATGATTATTGCTAACTGAGGAAAGGAGGAAGCAATACACCCTGGTTGGAATCCCTCCCTTGAGCGGGTCTCTTAGTAATCTACAGTGCTGAACCTTCAGATAAAATTTTGTCCTTGAGTTAATCCTGTAGAACTTCCCTGTTGTTATGATGACAATGTTGTTGTTCGGACAATGTTCAACCGCACCTGTGTGTACCCCCTCTACATGATTTCTATCTAACTATGCTGTAAGGGGAAATAAGGGCATTTTGGAACGTGGAAGACAAGAACACAGGACGATGAGGACACTGTCAGAATGCAATGAGACTGGGAAGGAGAAAACAAAAGTGAGAACTTTGAGGTGAACAAGGAGACTAGAACGATGGAACTATGATGACTGGGACTATGAGCAAAACTACAACTACGATTGCACCACAAGGGGAGAGATCAGACTCTGCTGGGGAGGAGAGAGAAATAAACTATCGATCAGGCTGGGACCCGGGCCCAGTTTATCCCATCCCTTGGTCCTTTGTTTGTCTGTAGCTATGGACCAGCCAGGGGAACGGCTCTTACCCAACTGAATGCTCGAGTCCCACATGCTCCCACCCTTTTCCTTGGATCACAGTGAAAATCTCGCTCCACTGCACACTTGCACACGTTTTGCTAAGGGACAACCATTCCCTCTTTGTTCTGACCTCCTCACTCCTAGCATCAGCAGTAAATACAGCAGACCCTTATTAAAGAAGAAAAGCTCTTATCTCCACGCTAATAAAGAATTATGATGAAGAAGGGCTGGGCAGGGAGCAAACTCCACTCAGTTTCGCTCTGGCCTGATGCCACCTCCAAGTCCCCTTGGCACAGGAGATGTGACTGAGCCCACGAAGGACGGAGGAGACCAAGATGACAACAGAACATCCCATCAACCTTAGCACCCAGGAACCCCAGGTCCGGGGTGATGACCACTGTCTAGGCCCTCTTCGTTGTGGCAGGATTGCCAAAACAAAACGCCTTTATTTCTGGTTTGCTTGCAAGAAACGAGCCACCTTCTGGCGTCCAAGCAGAAGGCAGAGGTAGGAAGAACAAAGGTTTTCTAGTAGCCCTGTCCCCTGATCCCAGCAGCAGATCTCTGGGACCAGGTGAGGTGACCGGCACTCTCTGTCCGTCCCAGGACTGAGGGCACTCCCAAGACATGACACTTGAGGTAAAAGAGCAGGGGAGATGAGTGTGTGTCCGTGTTTCACTCCAGGAAACAAGAGACAACACAAGCCAAGCCAAGATGACAAAGACAAGTGAACTTGACCTGGGTGATTCTGTGAAAAACTTTCACCCG